TCAGTAATCAATAGTCGCCAGCAATCTCGTTCGCAAGGTTGTATCTCGTTGAACACAGTTTGTGAATCAACATTAACGAATACCATGAACGCTTTGTGACTTGTGTAACAACTCGCGTTGGTGACATGCCGTTCATCGGAATTGATTTTCCGAGCGCAGGGCCTTTGAATTTCGCCGTGCCAAGGCCCAAGTAAACTTGCCGTCATTTTGGTGTTTGCACTGACGCCAGCATGGGCCGCCTAGGTATGGAATCAGTCTCCCAGAAATTCTGCACAAGAGGCGTGTTCAGACATCTGTGTGTTTCTTTTTTGCATCGTGTTTCTTGCTTCAATAGCATCAATGCTTCTGCACCCGACCAGTTGTCAAGAAGCGCAAGCCAAAGACAGCTCAGAGCTTGGGTTTGTTTGGAATCCTTTGACTGCTCAGCACTGCGGTTCTCCGTATCTTACAGTATTTTTTCAGCCGCTCTGATGCACCGCCTCAATCCCTGACAGCCCGCCCTTTCTATGACGTGACGCAGCATTGTGAACCGGCATGTGACATGTGGCCACATGATTTCACGAGCAAAGCCAGCTTCACGGGGGTCTAAGTCAGAAGCAGGGTGCTTTGGATTCCACTTTGCGCAACATGACTGACCACTAGAAGTCAGACGGTAAACGAAGTCACGGCAACATTTTACGAAAGGATGTCAAAAGTGTCTTCAATGCTTTGATATCCAGAAGTGAGTTGTAACAGTTACAGTTATCAGTGTCAGTTGTGGTTCACTTGAGCATGTTGCTCTTTGAAGCCCTTTCACCGCCTGAAAATCAGATATTGTGGCTCGAACCCGCACTGCAGGATTCCTGTGTTCTTGTGTCGTTTACGACAAAGTGTGAAAGTGTGATAGTGCAATGTGTGTGTGTGGCATGATTGAATATGATTGACCTGGTGTGGGCGCATTTGACCAGTTTGGAGCCGTTCACTGCTTTGCACTGCCATTCCATGGCGATTCTGCTTTCTTCCATCCCTCGATCCACTACAACATTGCAATCCCCAAGCCTGCCACAGGCCTTGCGATTTGAATCCCTCGACCTTGGGCTGCATTCGCCAATGTAGCTACACTTGCTCTTGCTGATCTTTGTTTGGCATACCTGAACTGGCTCTAATCTATTGGGAGTCAACGAGTCGGATAAATATTTTGGATGTTTGTGAGATCTTCGATGGCCTTCATGTTTGTTGCTTGGTTTCTTCCGACGATTTGCTTGGCTGACTTGGCGCTGAAGAGCTCGTGGATGTCCTGGACCACTCACATTCCATGACGTTCCACCAAACTCCCCCCAAACTCCAACCCTCTTTGCAGCGTGAGCATGGGGAGAGTAGGCTGTGGAAAGCATTTCAGGTCAATGCTTTGCAAGCATTTCTTATAGACATCAAGTTGTTCTACCAAGGATGTCCGTTGATCTACTGTAAAGGGTCCCTGATTGATTTGTTGCTAAGAATGTTCAATCCCTTAGCAAAAAATCGATTAGGGGGTCCGCGAATGTATTATTTGCTTCTCCTCAATCTATCAAAGGTTTCCTTCCAGCACATACCAACTATACATATATCAGGATATATATATATATATGTTATATATAAGTTTATGATATTGTGCTCTTTAGGCACATGCTTCGCGATGGGTCTAGAGATTCGCACATTTTTGGAACAATGACCATTCATGCGAGAAGAGTATGGCGTTGAGGTTCATGTCACATGTACACATGTGCTATATTGAACAGGTTTGCATGTGATTGTGAAGAGGAAATATAGAAGACATTTGAATTACGGAATGCAAAGATACTACGTTTAAGAGACAAATTTGCCAAGGCGGGCTCCCGCGGAACGATGCAAAGTGTCAAAGGAGCATTGCTGTGGAATGTCGACTGTGGGGATAGAAGAGCTACAAACTGAGCAAAGGCAAAGACAGGGTGACCGAGAGTGTTGTTCACCTCTCGATCACATGCGACTGTGCTCAGCCAGGAGAGGTCCCGAAGTGACTCCTGCGGGACATCCCCTCGACAGGTGGGAATTCAAAACCTGAAATTTGGGGCTAGGGCTAGCAGCGGCATGGACTAGCGCGAGAAGCGCAATTTTCGAGGTGCCGAGTTCTCCGCGGTATCTCGCTCAAACAGCATCCTCAAGAAGGCGGTCAGAATCTTCAAGGACGAGCAAACAGGCTTTTTTAAGCCCGGGGGGTGGCCGATAAGAGGAGGTAGCTTCTAAGTAGGCCGCTTCTGCTAGGATGCGCTCTTTGCTCAGGCTTCGCATGATTGATTTGGTTCCTAGAGTTGCAGGGAAACTGAACTTTCCTCCATTCAAAAATATTCAAAAACCTCCCGTTTCCTGGTTGCCAACAGTTACCTTATTTGCACCATGCTAGTTTGTAGGAGAGCTGCTGTCCGTCAAGAGCAAGCCTGGGCAGCCCAAGTTGCGTTTTTTTTTCAAATGTGTATGTTTTTCAAGTTTTGAAGATTGCGAGTGCTGATGTAAGGTGTGTTTGCGGCAGGGCAGTTCGCCCAACCAAACATTGTTGCCCATCCGCGAGGTTTGGCAAAAGAACACACATGTTTGAGAGTCTTTTGCTTCAGATCAGGTTCAAAGGGTGCTGACGCCAAAGCAGGCTTGAAATACTAGAGATGGAGGACGCAAAGTAGGGGCAACTCCTGAAGTAGAATGCTGCAAAAAGAAAAATGCATTTATATAAATATACATATATGTTATTTGAACATAGATTTTGTATGCCAGGTTTGCATAGACAGAGTGTCAGATGAGGCACGGCAGTTGGAGCGAAAGGTAAACCAACAAAGCACCTGGAAAATTACCTTAGCAAGAAGCCCAGCAGGTTCACGTGTGATTCAACATTTATAAGTTCACGCTTACAGCACCTTGAGAGCAAACGGTGCAAGATGTGCTTGAATCCTCTGCAAACTGTTGTGAACATCTTGAATATAGGTCGCCCTTTCTGTTTCAGGTCGGGTCCAAAGAGACCAAAGATGCCAAATTACTAGAAGGGGAGCAAAAAGGCCAGCTAGATTGAGACAAGTCCACATGGATTGAGACAACTAGGGACTGTGAACTCTGCATGACGGTATCACCTCTTAACGGCGGAAGTCTAGCTTAAGCTGCTAAAGCCTCTGATTTTGTTTTGCACACTGTTCCAACGAAGTGAACGGCTTCTTGGAATTGAAGCCACAGGAGAAGAATTGAATTTGAGTTGCAGAGAGAGGTGCGCGCACAGCGGAGCTGCTATGTCTCGGGTGATGAGATTCTGCTTGAGTCGAAAGGAATTCTAGGGAACATTGGGGTTTGCTTGAGGCATCTTGAGGCCTTCGCATTCAAAGTTTAGCTTCAAAAGGGCGAACCCCTGGGACACGTTGGGACACGCGACCCAATGAGACACTTTGCAGCAGCTCTGCTGCTGAGCCATGCAGCAGCTTTCGAAGCAACAGCTGCAAACTGGGAGGACCAAAACGACAGCTGCAAGCTCTTTTTGTGTTGTGAAGTGATGTAAAGCGACAGAGGCAAGGAGAAAAGGCGAAAAAGAGAGAGAGAGAGATCTTTGATGGCAGGAGAAGGTCATGAAGCCTGTGAATTCTGGGAAGATGGCCTTCGTAAAATTCTTGGCACCTTAGTGAAATTGTAGTTTGCTTGTTGCTGTCATTTGTATAGATCAGTGCAACATGTGTGGCACTGTGTGAAATACAAAATGTGGTCCGAGGCACCGTGGTGAGGACACTGTAAGAAGCTGAAACCTGACTGGGATGCTCGGTCGCTTCGGTCGCTAGTGGCAACAAATGTTCACTGTCAAAAAGATAAAAAACATGTGAGTATAGTATTGTATACATATATATATACAGATCGATGGAAGGATGGATGGATTGATGGATGGATGGAGGGAGGGAGGGAGGGAGGAAGTGATAGTATATCTATATATATATATAGTTTGTTGACCACTCGTAATGCAGCAGGTGCTTGTTTGCTGCTTGGGGGTTCAAAAGATTTGCACATCATCGAAATATGTAGGCAGCGAGGGCCTTTTAGTCCATTCTTTAAATCTGATTACCCACCAAAAATGGAGAGTGCGATTGTCACTGTTCATCATTTTGTACTTGGCTGCAAAGAAATAGGAACGACTGTAGCGCTGCATGAAAGGGTGCATGTGTTGCTGCTGTGCTGGTGCTGCAGCGAATTACGAGCAAAAGCGCACTTGGAACGCTTGAACAAGAAGCTAAACTATTCTTCTTCATTTTAATTGATACAAGTTTAATGGGAATGACAACCCTGCAAGACTAGCACAATCCATTGGAAACGATATGGTGAACCCCCAAGAACGACAAGGCAATGTTTTTGAACATTGGTATATTATACATTATTATACCACTTTTGACCATTTCACCTGGTTCTTCTCGTGCCGGCAGTCCTGGAACGATAACGGAAACGATAACGACAAGATCATTCAGTATCTCTTCATCAAAAAACTCAGCTTCGAAAAGCCGGTGGCCCATTCACAGTTGTTTCAAGATGACTCTAGATGGAAGAAAACAAAGTTGGCCTTGTGTGCCACCCACGATAGCACATTGGGATGCTGCAACATGTACTGTTGCAAAGAAGGCAGTCCCGAGAAAGGCACCACGCGGAGGTAAGTACACAGTCACCAAGCAGCAGCGCGCGTGGATCTACAATGCTCTGAAGCGATGCGTTTGGGTCCACACGGCTTGTTTCAACAGCGGCGTTTTTGTAGTAGCAGCACCCTTAAGTTACCAGTCGTGGTGTGCTTGCCAATCAAGGATTTGATCACGCAATCAAGTCAGTATGTGTTCTTGCGAAAAGAAAGGTCAACAATATTCAGGGATATTCAACAAAGAGGAAAACAACCAACAAAAATATGCAGCGCATTGATAAGATGCAAGGTATTCAAAGTGGAAAACGACCAACCCATGAACTCCCAAAAACAAGAACGCCGAAGTGGGGTGCGCCTCCGCATGTTGCTGTTGAAGGATGTTGAAGGACTCAGTGAGACAAGTGCTGAGGACAAGTTGGCGTCCAAGTGGAACAAGGCTGACTCCAATGCAGTCATTGTGGACGTCGACTGTACGACGGATGATGCGAAAGATTTGTGCAGCAAGTATGGCGTGCAGGGCTATCCCACCTTGAAGTATTTCAGCCCAAGGACGTCAAAGGAAGGCGATACATACGAGGATGCTAGAGATCTCAAGGCTCTGAACAAGTTTGTCAAGAGGGCCTCAAAGCTGCCGTGCTCACCAGACACGGGAGAGAACTGTGATAAGAAGGATAACGCATACATAGAGGAGAGCCGTTTCTTTGTGATGTTTTTTGATACAGTTTGATACTGTACATGTTATTGATCGCTTCAGTTTTCTCAATGTGGCATTGGGTTTGACCACAAAGGAGATTAAAGATATGCAGCTTGACAAAATCAAGGAGGAGCATGGCAAGCTAAAGAAGGACTCACATATCCAAGTGGTAAGTGTACTCATGGGAGCCATTGCCTGGGACATTTGAGGATTGATGATGATTGAGACTTACGTAGAGACTTCCTTCGGGACTTGACACAGGAGTTAGAGGATTTGGAGGCAGAGTACAAGGCCTCAAGCGATCTCTTCGAGAAACAAAAGGAAGAAGCCATGGCCACAATGAAGAAGTCGGAGGATCTCAAGTGCCTTTGGAACGAAGAGTATGAAATGATGAGGTCACAAGTCTTTGGCTTCTTTGCTGAAGTGCTTTCTAGTTGTCGCCTGTTGTGCTTTACACCAAGGAAATCTTTGGGCAAACTTAAAGACAAGACCGGCTACAAGATTGCCATCTTGGAAGCCAAAAGCGCGAAGACCGAGCTCTAAGACACAGTTTTGTTTTCTCAGGCAAAAGCCCTCGAGAATGAAGGCTTTTCAAGTTGAGCTGGGTCAAGAAGCACACAAGTACGAGCGCGTTATCCTAATGTGCCACGTTCTGGAAAAAGAAAAACTACACGTACAAAAATTTCAGCATGTTTTGCTCGTTGTAACTCGTTTTACTCAAACCAGCGAACTTGGCCGTGTCACCCTAGTCCTAGTCACTCGTCCGCTTTCACCCTCCAAGCTCCGTGAGCTGGTGACGCCCGGTGTGTCGTTTCAGTTCGGAGAGCTTTCAAACCGCGGCAGCCCCATGCAGCCCCTGGCGGCCCGCCTATGCGCTTCAAATCTTCGAATACGCTTTGCCTTGTGACTATCTTCAGGTTCTCCTTGCCTCCATTATTGAGATTTGAGAACATTTCTGGATGAGACTCTCTGAGATGTTTTTGATTGATTTTTGTTTGAACTGTTTCAGTTGGTTTGAAGTGTGACCATCAACTGAAAACGACGACTCGGGCTGAGCGCTTCTCGGCAGCTTTTTGACCGCTTCATGTGGGGAGGGATGGAGATGCCGACCCTTGCGGGAAAATAGGATGCCGAACTGAACTGCATTGATTCCTTGCTTGCAAAGCCTTCATTGCTCATGACTCATGACTTTTCTTGCTGCTGTATGTTGTTCACAAGGTAGAGCAAGGGCGTTCAGCTACATGTTGTACTTTCAGGTACAGTCTACTTCGCAAAGCCTTTTTGGCAAACGCATAAGCTGCGAGAGCTGCTTGGCTTCTATGGATCAAAATCACGCAGCTTCTTGCAATAAGATCTGTCAGTTTGAATGTGCCATAGTGCCATATACAATCATATATTGTACAATGATTTGTGACAAAGATTCTTTGTTGACTACTGTACTAGGGCGGATTTTATCCTGAAGAGAATTCATCCGCTCACGAAAGTTGCGCAGTCAATTCAGACTGTATTGTTGTGTTCGGGCTGTTCCCCAAACAGGTTCCTTGCAACTAAGAGCTTCGGTGATACCAAGGCAGGGTTCGGAGCCAGCGTTCGCGTTGATCGCTGGTGTTTTTTGTCGACAGTCTGGCAAAAAGTTGTCCTCATCATCATTGCATGGTCGTTTTGCGTGGCAGGTGCTGTATTTTGTCTGGGGCGTTAAAACACAATATTTGTGGTTCTAAGTATCGCTCAAGCTGTTCTCATCCGGTGTTGCGTACTAAAGGGCTGACGAAAGTAAAGTGCTAATTCTCTCCGAGATCCACACAGAAACTTTGCTCTTTAGAACTTTTTCTCAAGTGTTGTTGCCGCAGCTTCTTCCCACTGTGGGGAGCTGTGTGATCCCCGACAGGGGCGCCGTTACTGAGTCTTTACTCCTACACAGCAAAACAAATCTGACAACTTATTTCGCAGAAACTTTCTTGCTCAAATCAGGATGCGTTTCACACAAACGTTTCGAATTGATGCTGCAGAGCTTACGTACTGAAATGCACACTGAATCAGAATCTGTCTCACACACGAAAGATCAGCATTTCCAACTTGTTCTTTTGGCTTCAACTTTAACTTCCGGTTGGAGTGCCCTGTCTTTTTCTCGTTTGGTGTCTCTTTCTTTCTTCCTTCCTTCCTTCCTTCCTTTCGTCTTCTAAATTTAGGCTTGTTAAGTGGTAAAGAGGTTACGCCGACAACGACTTATCACCAGCCTCGACTGGTACCAACTTTACTTGAAGTTTTGATCTCCACCACCTGCACGAGAATTTATTGCCAGACCAGTCGATCTTGCTCTCCTTCTTTTTCGTTTCGCCTCCCCTCTCTCTCTCTCTCTCTTTCTCTCCTTCTTTCTCTGCTAAAGGCTTGTTAGGTTGTAATTCAGCATTTTTTGCCAAGGCTTTTTAGGCTGTAACTTAGGCTTGCGCCAATTCGGAACGCGCATTCGCCTAGAGCGCTTTGATTCTTTCCTTTTTCTTTTGCTCTTCTCTCACTTTCTCTCTTCTCTAGGCTTGTTAGGTTGCTATTCAGGTCCTTTGTTTTGCACACTTCTAACCCCCGTATCTGGGGATTCTAACAGCTACGTCTGGTCTATTCTACGCGTTTACACTTGTACAGATCCAGGCCGGGGTCTCACGGGTCTGTTCCTGGCGTGAGACAACGAAGCCCCAGGTTCAGACTAGGATATCGAGGGGGTGCCCTCTGGGCGTACCTTTTGGCAGTTATTTTTCTACCCATTCCTAGCTTGGCCCATTTCTCGACGCTAGCCACTGAAGCTAGAGAAATGGGTGGTTGGGTGAGTCTGTGGACCCACCCACAATTTTCAGCAGTCATGCACTCGTTGATCGAGCCTGTCACGTTTTCCGTTTTCCTTATGAGCTTAGGCATCATCAAGACTACGATGACCTGACCACCTTGCATACTACCTGTTTTACCCAGGCAATTCTGTCGCTTAGGCTTCTCCGGTCCACACCCTGGCACGATCAGTTCCGCGCGCATTTCTCGAGTGCGTCTGGCCTTGCGCCAGCCCGGGGTGAACCCGAAGAGCGCCCCTTCGTGGGCCCGTCTTTGGTCTCGCTTCCAGCTGGAACCTAACAAATTTTGCGCGGCCGTAACCAGCTCAGCAGTTATTAGAATTCGTTTTTTCTATATGCAGTTGGAATATGGTTTTACACGGAGCAGGGGGAAGATCGGAGACCACATGCAGTTACAATATAAAGACACAACGAACCGAGTACTGTAAACAATCTTATCAAACAACAAGCGCGGCGATTTTGCAGAAAGTATATAAATGGAATGCAAACTGGCACTGTGCTGCTGAGTTTTTGCAAAACTACACTCCAGAAGCACCTGCCTCAAGCGCTCTCTCACAGACTTACAGTGCTTCAAAATGCCTTCAAACTCAAGCTCCCGATCACCGTTGTGTTTTTCCCATCACCTTGTTTGTCCTGCGCTGTATCTTTGAACCATGCAACGCTCTTAGGTTGGAGGCCATTGCCATTACTATTGGGTTGGAGGCCATCGCTCTTAAGTTGGAGGCCATCCCTATTAGGTTTGAGGCCATCGCTATTAGGTTTGGA